ACCGGCTCCGTGTGATTACCCCAGCGCGCCCACGCTCGCGATCTTTATTCCTTCAAGGGTGATGCAAAACACGGAATTGCTGGCCGCCTGGTCGCCATAGCGTCAACCCTTCCAGTTAAGCCATACCAACCCAGGACCTGAGCAACAAAGGGCCCTGAAATGCGGCTTCGAACATATCATATCTTTGGCAGTGGAATGCCGAAAAATGCTCTCCAGGCTCCTTCAGCAAGATTTTGCTCTTGAACAGGCCGCAGCTTTTTGTTTTGCCAGACTTTGGTAGCTCGCCGCCCAAAAGCTTCGGGCGTGAAAATGCGTAGTTTTCACCCAAGGTTTCAATCCTTTTTTCGCAGCTGCGTCAGCCTGCCACATTAGCCCCTTCTCGGCTAGCTGGCCTACATCATGGCTCTCACGGTGTGGCTGTTGCCTGACCAGCTTTTTTTGAGCCATGTGTGCGCACACGGTCAGAGCGGTTCTTTTCACTCATGGCTGAACAGTATCAAACAACCTGTGCCAAAGGTAATGCAAAATAGCGCAAGCTGATTGAGGTTGCACCATGTTGCGTCGCACACGCAGAGCTAGCCGAAACATGCCGCATCAGTTGAAGTGTATAAGGAGCAAGCCATGTTTGTGCAACATCAGGCGCGCTGCATCAACCTGTCGCATTTTGCCGCAAATCGCCGCAATCTGTCTCAGGCACGATACTCTTTGATACCGTCTAGCCACCCTCTGTTATCATGTGGAGCAAGCTTCGTGTAGCACCTAAAGCAAAGAAGCAACACGGGGACATGCATTTCGCGTGGACCTTTGTCGCCCATAGCGCGTTTCTTCCAAGCTAAGAAGCCCGCGCAAAGACCCTTTTGTGCGTGGGGTCGGGGTTTGCTTTCCAAAACCCGTCATGGACCTTTCAGTCCCTGCTCATTCGGGGTAGGCGTTGGCTCGATTGCTCGAGGTGTTCCAAAGTGTACCAATTGCAAAAGCGCTGTGTCGCATGTGCATAAGTGCAGCGCAAGGACGGCAGCGGGTGATGCCCCGTTGTGTTGTGTGCCTGCAACTTGCTGCGCTCGAGCGAAGCAGAGGAACGCCCAGGACCAACGCATCCCTGCAAGGCATGTTGGCACGCAAAACAATAAGCCTTGGCAGCTTGACCAGGTTCATCAAAGCAGAGGGTCAGGTGCAACTTGATCGCTTCTGTCTACACATGTCCCAAGGATCGCGTCTTGGCTGGTGGGACATCCAACCATTCTTGGCCCAATATTGAGGAGATGGCCTGTGCTTGAGCAGCAACCGGTGAGCAGCTAACTGCAGTGCCCGCAAATTGGCTCCGACTCAAAGCAGGTTCAAGGCGAGTTTTTTGCTGAAGGGCCCAGACCCAGCGCCCGCTCATATGGCGGTGCTCCTGCGTGGCAGCCAGGACAGGTCCGGGTAGATCAGGTGATCAGAACAGCTAGGTGTGAGGGGCAGTTCCCACTCGCGCAGCCAACCTTGCGCTGGATTGAACCTTGCCCATTTCCGTCAGCAGTGGCAAAACATGCTCAGCACCGCTTAGCCTGTTTGGCAGTGAGAGCAACTACGCTACTAGCGGTTTGTTTCTCTTTCCGCCTTTCTGTGTGCTGAAACCATCTGACCGAGCGTGGTCACCCTTGGGCCTTGGGCTAGTTCATAGTTAGAGAGTGCCAAGGATTTATTTTTGGCAACTTTGCCCTCGCATTCTGTGAACCTCACGGGGGCAGCTGGCAGCCTGACGTGATGTTGTCCGCTTCCGTGTTCAGTGCAGGTCAAACGCAACGTAACAGAGCCTATGCGCAGATGACCCGTCGTCTATCTGGTGCATGCCTAAAGAGTTCCACCCGTTCCACGCGAGCTAAAGAACTCCAGGTGGAGTTTCCGCGAGAAACGCGTGCTAAGAAGGTGACGTGAAGGTGACGGGACAGTTTGGAAAAGGGGGCATTTGACAGAAGCATAGGCTTGGCGCTCTTGGGAGAGTGGGGAGAGGGAAGTCAAGGCTTGGAAGGATGGGCTATTTGTTGATTGACGGTTGGCGTTTGAAAACTCATTATACTTCTTCTGCTTGATTTAATCGTTTCATACTTGGAAGGATTGGTCTTGGCTTGTAAATATTTTGCCAGGAAGGACTTTCTGGCTCGCAGCCGGGAATCAGGACATGCCCGCTCCAAGCCATCCCTTTGGATGATCCCCAACGGTTCATTCATTCCCAAACCCCAGGTTGAAAACATCACTGATACCTACCAAGAAGTCGAAGTCTCTGGTGGGTCAAGAAGCGTACCTACATAGTGTGTGCGTGTAGGAATGTTAGCTTCCCCGTCACAGGAAAGGAGATGTTGGTATCCCCACTCTGCCATTTTCGAGGTTGAGATGTTCGGGGCTATTCTCTTTGCTCAGAGGCAAGGCTGTAGAGTGATCACAGGCAAGACAGTGGAGTGCCGGTGGCTTGTGAGGGTCTGGTGCTTGTACTGCTAGCTCGTGGCCAAACACTACCAGCCCAGAATTTGTTGTGGGTATTTGCGATGCCTTTAATGTGGCAGTGGGCGCCTGTGGCTGCTGTGGGGTTCCGTTTTTCTGGTCAGCTGCGGGGTTCCGTGTTTCTGGTCAGCTACCCTTTACGGATCGAGTCTAGTTTAGAGAAGCCAATGTTTCAGGCGGGACTGTTAGAGCATTTCCTCGTTTTTCTGTCCATGGCGACCCATGTGTTTTGAGGAATGGAGTTGTGCAAATGAGTGATTCATTGTGGTGCACATGCGTGTAGAATTGAGAAACCAGTTGGCAAATAGTTGGGACACCGTGCTAAGCTCGCGTGCTCAGATGGTGATGAATGTGATGAATGTGATGAATATGCTTGCGTGTGACCGGAAAGAGGATTTACATGAACTGCGGTGTTCGAATTGATCCTGGTGGGTGCACTTCTTGCCCCTTGGGCTGGGCTGCGCGGCTAGTCTCAGACAGGTCAGACAGGCCAGCAGGAGGGCATGCTTTTCGGAACCAAAAGGCAATTTTTTGGTGGGAATTGCGGGGATCTTGCAGACATGGGTGAGGGGGTGGGCTGCAGAAATTTTGGTTGGGGAAACGGGATCTGAGCGCGCGCCCTTGGCCCCCTTTGGGCCGAGGCGGATTCAATAACCACTTCCTTTTGATTTTGAAAGGGTGGTTCCCTGCAAACATTGGATGGAGTGCTTGCCTATATTTGCCCTGCAAGTGGGTCAAAAGGCGTATCTTATCTACATGGAGTGCGTGGTTGAATGCCACGGCGTCCCGGTCACGTCTTCCGTTGGTGTCGCTGTCCCCACTGCATTTGAGGTCAAAGGGTTTTTTGGGGGCACGAAGCACCAGCGTTCCCCTTCCAGTTTTTTGGTTTGCTTTATGTCCAAACTCCTGGGACCCATTATTGAAATGGTTTCTTTCAGGTTCCCAGGAAAACCAAAAAAAGGGCATCCTCAAGTGCGGTCCACATAGAGAACCCCATTTTTTCGACCCGGAAAATCGCCAGGTTCAGACCACCGGCGATCGGCGATCGGTTTCGCGTCTCACGCTTGATGGCCTGGGGAACAAATCAAGTCTCTCGTGGAATCCAGTTGCCCAGAACCTTTGGTCCATGCCGGAGGAAAGGCTTAATGTTGGGGAGTGATGCGGGTTGCGTTTTTTCTTCCGAAAAGCGGGGGGGGGGGTGCAACCCAGCTAGTCAAAGGGCAGCAATGCCCCCTTTTCAAGCTGCAACTTTTTCTTTGGGGCAAGTCGCAGCCAATGTAGGGATGGAAGCCAAGCTGTTTGGTATCACATAAACCCCCACTTCCCGGCATTCGCAGATGAATATGGAACCCGAAACTTTGTTTGGGCGCGGCCGGCTCGGCGCCTAGGCTTCGTTTCTTTTGGAGTCCAGGGATCTGATCGAGTTCCCGTGTTCGCCGGAAAGGACTTGTACAGCCCAGTCCTATCGCCAGCTTTGAACTTGCGAGATCCTGAAGCGGGGGATTCAACGGCGAGCACGCCGAACTACCATGCCACCAGAATTCGCCCAACAAAGAAACCCGAATTCATGGATCCCCGGTGGGTCTTTCGGAGTCGTGCTGGAGTCACCTGTGCAGAAAAGGTGGGCGCCCAGACTCCTGGCGTCCACCGCCCCGCTCCGGCGGCTTCTGGTTTGGGTTTGGGCTTCCGACTTTGGAGGTTTGGAGCGGAAGCCTGCTTTGACATGGCATGGGGCTGAAAGGCTCCAAGCACTTGGGTGTTCAGCCAAGTGTAACTTCCAACAGTGATGGCTGGGTTGCGGTTTTCAGCGGCGAAGTGGAGTTTTTTGTTCTTTGTTTTTTTGCGTTCCCTCATTTAATTTTCCATGTTGAGTTGCAAAGCGTTCGCCTTTTGGAGGGGTTTGAGTCTGGCCAAGGAAAGAGTTGGGACCATTTGTGCTCCGAGCGTTTCACATCCATTGCCCAGTTATTCGGTGGCAACCTCGAATTCCATGTTGGTTTTCTGTCAGGGCCACTGGGCAGCTAGGATTTTGACTCACCTTAGGGTGAAGCATGCTATAGTATGCTGGCCTCGAAGGGTCCAAACCGTACAACTAGCCAGGTCTTGCTTTGAACGCCTCCAAAATTATTCGTTGGCTGCAGACTTGTTTCACAGTCCCATGCCTGGCAGGAGGCAAGCGGCCGCAGGCCCTGTCACGACAACCACTTTGCATTTGTCTTGGTGTTGAGTTGGGCGGGGAGCACCCTATTGGCGAATCACAATCCCCATGCACGCGAGGTCCGCTTTAAATTCATGAAACTGCTTTTGCGTAGAACGCTGGGAAAAAAACAATGACTGCAAGCTATGTTTCTTGGCAGCCCCAGAGGCACCAAGTTGCGTAAACAAACAGGTGCTTCAGCCCACTTTAGAATCCACCTGGGTTGTCTCTGAGGGCACCCTCCAAAATGGATGATTTTCCCCAGGCCACTTCTAAAACAGCGCCGGCGGCGAGTGCAAAGCTCGCAGCGCGGGAGCGAGCCATGGAGCGCAACGCTGCCCTGGCAGCGCGCATCGCGCAAGTGAAGCCAGCAGCTTAAAACAGAGAGATGAGTGGCTGTGGGTCAAAACCAATGGTACCATTTTGGGGTAGGTGCACCACCCATTTTAGTGGGGATTGGGATGTTCAATGGGGGGGCGGGATTTTGACACATGGCCAGATGAGTGTCGCAATTCTCCAGGGATTGCCCAAAAAAAGACGTGGCCTCTTGCTGTCCTGCATTTTTTTAGTATTGTGAGTGCAGGGATTTTTCACGACTTTGAGTTTGTTTGCAAGGGCCCCATCTCACTTACCCAAATCCTCCCGAAGCTTTGAGGCGAGGTTGGAAAACATCTCAATGCAGAAAGAGGAACAGCCTCAGGAAGTTTGAGCCACGTGACTGCCTTTGCGTTAGCAATGTTTTGGCTTGGTTGAGTTTTCGTGAGACATTTGCGGGAAGGCTTGAACATTAATTTGAATCTGGGCTGTGTGAATCGTTTGTCGTTTGTCAAGGTCTTTTGTTGGCCTAAGGTTTCTGCGAATTGCGGATCTTGCCGCTCTGTGTCCCCTCCCGCGAAAAAGCAAACAACACTTCGAGAAAGCCCAACAATCAAACAGCAGCCACCAAACACAAAGAACCGACAAACCACATGCCAGCCCGGCATCCAAATGCCAAATGCATCTCGAGAAACCCAAACAACGAGAAGCAAGCGAGACCAAAGAAAAAAAGGAAGCCACCGAAATCGCGCCTCACCATGGCATTGGATCCTTTGCGTGTCTTGTTTTTAGTGTGTTGCCCGTGTTGTTCTTCGTGTTTGTTTTTAAAGGCGTGTTTCCATCCCGAGAATGTTTGCTATCGTGATGGTTTTTGTTTGTTTTTTGGCGGGCTCTTCTTGCATATTCTTATTTAGTTGTCCATACTCGAGATGTTGCTTTGTTTTCCCAGCCCAAGAACGGTTCAATTTGCAAGTGTCGTGGATCTAGAGGTCAGCCTTCCCCATTCCGATTTCTGATTTTGGATACTTCAGCTCCTGTTTCCCAGCCCTTTGGCACCTTTTTTTGGGGGGATTTAACCGGCAGCTTTCCTTTTTGGAAAGGTGGTTCCCTTGGTCTACATTTACCTAAATCAGGGACCTCAAACTTGGCTGTTTTCCTTTCCCCTTCAAACCCAGCCCAAAAGGGGTGTCAAAAGAAGACACCACCCCAAGAACAAATGTCATCAGAAGAAGACACGGCCATAGATGGAGCCACGAAGATGGCGGCCACGCCGCCTCGGTGCCTTTTTTCCATTCGCTTCCATAGGCCGGTGCCGGCCACCGTCCAGCTGCTGGAGAAACAGCGCCTCGGGATGGCGAAGGGTGAGAAGATCTTTCGCTGGGCTGGGCTCAGTAGGGAATGAGGGAATGAATGAGGGAATGAACCTGGGGATTCCCTTAAAGGAAACCCATAGGGGATGGTTTTTTTTTTTGGGTCATTCCCTCATTCTCTGAGCACCAGCAAGTTTTTGAAGAAAGGGATCGATGGTGGTTTTATTGGGGAATGGGAAGCGCTTTTAAACTGGCTTCGTCCAGCTTGCTTTGGAAGACAGGGGTTTGGTGTTTTATGAGGGAATGCGCACTCCTCCTTTTGATGGCTTCTTCCAGTTTTCCATGTTCGATGAGCAGCTCATGCTTTTCGCGAGGTCTGTTGAAAACCAGACGTGCTCCCGGGGCGGGAGAACTACCTGAGCTTAAGAGACCTACGGGTAAATTTACAGAAGGGGTCGTCATGGGGGCTGAGTTTTTTCAGATTCCTGGGGGCTGAGTTTTTCAGATTCCTGGGGGCTGAGTTTTTTCAGCAAAAAACAACACAAAAAAGAAACACAAAAAAAACAACACACAAACAAAACAAAAACAAAAACAAAAAAACACAGCCCATCATCTGCTAGTTCAGGGCCATGGGTCTTCTTTTTTTTTGGTTTTTGTTGGTGCCTTCGCTCATAAACACCAAGAAAACCAAAACAACAAAAACACAGCCCATCATCTGAAGACAATACTTTGTTGATGCTTTCTTGATGCAAGCTTTCTTGATGCAAGACATCAATAGTATGATGATATGTGTATCAACAGAACATAAGCCTCTTCCAAGATATTCTGCAGGTAACTCCAGGTAACTGGAGATAATTTATCTCATCTCTCATTTCATCTTCTGCAGGTAACATCTCATCACAAGCAATTGCTTGTGGCTTGTGTCTACTTGAATCTATTCTGAACAGCTTTACTGTTGCAAGAGCTCTTCAGTAACACGAATAGCTGCAGAGAATCTTATTCCAAAGCTCTTATTCCAAAGCTGAACAGCTTTATGCAGATAATGTTATTTGCATCTGCAGATATCGTTGCAGGTGCTCATCTTTGCATCTTGTGCTTCTTGAGCTCAAGCAACTAGATTGGATCTGTGCTCCAATTGCTCCAGCTCATTATGCGATAAATATGTTTGTGTTAGCTGTCTTTTCTCAAGAGCATGGGCAGAGACCATGCGTATATTGAAATATTGAACATCCAACTGTAAAAAGAGCTGAGTCTTGCAGCTGAAAGCTGCATAGATCAGCGATATCTTATGTTTCTTATGATTTCATATGCATGGCAAGCTGTGCTTGCCATACTTACGTGTTTCAGAATTGCAACACAACAATAATATTTGTCCCAAACATACATCTGCTTGCAGATTGCTAAGCATACGTCTTCCACAATATTGCATACGTATGCAAATTGTGTTGAATATTTGTGCCAAACATACGTCTTCCAAAAGTTAGCACCCTGAGGTTTATAAACTTGGCATGCGTAAGCATGCCAATTATCCAAAAATAAGCTACAGACACACGTTTGCTAAATATTGCTGTCCAACAATGATATTTGTGCAAAATAGTTCTCAACAGGCTGTCTTCTGTGTAGCTTGAAGCTAGCTCATGTTCCAGGTCTGGATGCATCTGAGTCTTCATTGGATCGAAAATGAATCTGTGCTTGCATGTCATCATCCAAAAAAACACAAAACACCCCAATAAATCTAAGAGGTCACGGGTCTTGATATTATATTTTTGGTATTTTTAGTGTTTTCAATGGAACAACTCAGCCCCCAAGAATCTGAAAAACTCACCCCCCAGGAATCTGAAAAACTCAGCCCCCAGGAATCTGAAAACCTCAGCCCCCATGCCGACCCGCCCTCTAAATTTACCCCTGTGGCAACCAAGGGAGATCCACCTGAGGAAACCTAGAAGGCAAATGGCAAAGGGTTACCTACTAGGAGGATTCACGAGTTCTTTGGGGTCTGTGGGTTAGAGGCAAAGTCCAAAAGAAAACCACCCGGATTTATGAGCTAAGGCTTGAAAGAAGAAGTGTTTAAGGAGGGACTTATAGAAAAGATGCCGCCATTCCTGAATGAGGGTGCGCCCCTGGTTAAGATAATGTTTCTCTGAAAGTGACCTTCTGGTGGGCTTCATGTTAGCTGCTCTCAGTGTCTAGGTTTTGCTTCGGTGTCGCAAAAAGGGCACCATCACAGAAAGGCACACCTCGTGTTGGCAAATGACTGGACATCAAGACAGGTTCATGTTTGGGACCGCTCTCCTTTGGCAATGACTACTTTGATGGAGATCCCTTGGTCGATCTTATCTTTGCAGTAGATACCTTTGAGCGAGTCTCGCACTGGCACTTGGCATCCCAATGCTGCACTTCTGGCAAGCTCACCTTTGGGTAAAAGTGGTATGCCCATGAAGCTCCCTTATGGATCGCAGCATTCCGGTCGGTGATGTAGTTTGTCTTATTTCGCGGTGGAATCAGCTTTGGATCTGGGTCATTTATATTTAGATGTTTTGCTTGAGATCCTCGCCCTTTGCAGCACCAGCATTAACAAAAAGAAGCCGAAAACCAGATTTGGCCAACAATTTGGCTTTTCTTGCCTGGCTCTTTTGCCTGGCCTTCTTGGATTTCCTTCATTCTCCCCTGACCGGCACACCATTGACTTGGGGCGGATGAAAAGTTGGCCAAGACACGACTCCCCAACCGACGCTTGCGTGGACGGGACGGCTGGGCTCGGTCTAGCCGGCAGCTAAGGCTGGTGAACGGTGGGGGTCCCTGGCAAAGCCGAGGTTCGTGCCCCAAAATAAGTTTCCTGCAGGTTTCTTCTCTCGAGGGTCTGGACCCCCATCCCCGAGGCTTCTCCAGGGGACCATGCCTTCTCAATTCTTGGAACCGCTCTAAAGGGCGCTACACCCAGACATAAATTTACTTGATGATTGCTTTCCCAGCTGTCCCCCCCTCACACGAAGGTTCAACGCGCTGAGTACTCTTTCTCTTTAAGCGCTGTTTCACAAGCAATCTGGGCCCCTGGGACTGGAAATGGAACCCTGCTTTTTTTCCCTGTGGTCAAAAACCAGCTAGGATCCCCAAGACATCAAACAGGGGATCCGATCAGGGCGACGCAGAACCGGCTTGGGGGAACCGCCCGAAAAAAAAGAAAAAAAAAAGAGAAGGCACGATACCCCGGGGAAAAGCCGATGTGCGTTTTTACTGTAAGGTACCTCATTTTTGGCCATAGGCTTTTCCCAAGTGGACAGTGCCTTCTCAACTTTTTACTTTTTTTTTGAAAAATAACAATAAAAATGAGCGAGCACGCAGAGGTTGGGGGAGCACGCAAACCCGGAGAAGGCCCGCAAAACCGGAGAAGGCCCGCAAAACCGGAGAAGGCCCGCAAAATCCGGAGAAGGCCCGGAAAAAATATGAGTCTGTTTTGTTTGGCGATGTGTGACGTGCAAATCCGCATCCATGGCTGCTGGTGATGCCTGTGCTGCTGCTGATGCTGGTTATGCCTTTGATGCTGGTGATGCCTCTGAACTGGTAATGCCTAAAAGTATCAGGCCAGAGCCAAGGCTGACAAACCAACATGCCAGCCCTTGAGAAGGCACGCTTATCTGGGGGAACACGCAAAATCCAGAGGACGCGTGTCCAGACTTCCGATTCTCCTTGGAGATAGGCCATCTTGTGTTTGTTGAGAGTTTCAAGTTTCCGTGCAATCTAACCCTCCCCCCCCCCCCAATTTGTTTTAGGGGCAGTCTGACTGAAAAACCCTGTTCAGTTTCACCCTGAGGAACAAGCACCTTTCTGAATCAGCGTCACTGGTTGCAAGCGCAAAGGGCAGAGGTATGGTCAACTCGGGATGCTCTCGTGCTGCCGTGACTGAAATTCGTGAAGCCAAATTGGCGATCTCTTCCCAGAAGGTCCTGGTTTGGATAGAAATAGAAAAGAGTGGTACTATTTTCCGTTTTCCAGGGCCATCCATTTTTCCAAAAGGCCACATATGCAGCAGAGGCTGCTGGTTTCTGGGGCCGTTCCAAGATGAGAATCAAGCCACCAGAGGTAGTGCCCTTTTACCCCTTTTTTGGGGGAGGGTTTCCCTACTAAAATAGACTACAGAAAAAAAGGCGCCCTTATTCTAGCCTCTCTACAGGAGGACCTAGTCTTGCTGAAAGCGGGTTTTCATCAGTGTCTCTATCCGCCGATTGCGGATCTCGTCGAATGGGAGCAGCCCACTTTACTTTGGTGTGGGTTCCAAGAGGCGGGTCCAGGGATTCTTTTCCTCGGACCCTTGGGCTCTGCAATCCAATTCGCGAGCGACCAACAAACCGGTTGTCATGAACCTTGGGGGGGACTGTGCGGCTATTTCCGGGCATTGCCTGAGATCCACAGACTTGCGCAGCCCCTTGTTGAAGAGAGTTTCTGGGGTCAGCTTGCTGGGAACCATACCTTCTTTTGTCCACACGCTACCTGTATATGACAAGGGGCTGGCCTTCTCCCACTCTTCCCCAATGGAGCCGGGATCATAGAATACAATGGATACAGTTGTGGGGCATGGGTACATGACAACTGCCGTAGGTAACTAAACGGATCGGTTTGCCCGAGCTTTTGACACACTTGTTTGCTTCAGAGTTCAGTCAAAGAAGCGGGGTGAGCAGTCAGCAGAATAAGGGCGCTCCAATCAGGTAGCAAAATCAATCCACCAACAGAAGGGCTCACAAGTCAAAAGTCAAGCCAATGGCATTGTGAGTTGCTTCATTTAGAGTTGTGGAGCTCATTGGAGGTTTTGGAGGGGTCAGCAGTCAACAAAGCATGTCATTTTTGTTTTTCTAACTGCCCCTTACGGAACTTTCCCTGGGATCTATCCCCAAAACGAAGTTTTCGGTGCCATAAGTTGCGATTCGCAATAGGTGATGCTGAAGTGCGGGAGCAAGGCTCGGGGTTTGCTGGCCCCCGGGTTTGGTCGAAAGTGCAGGGACCGGGCCCTGCCAACAAAAGCACGTGGATGTGCGGGTGTGCATGTGTGTGCTGTCTGTGTGTGTGTGTGTTGGTTTTTGGATTTTTTTCTTCTTGTTTTTCTTCTTTTTTTCTAAACTGATTATGGGGATCCCTTATAACATGCCCTCTTGGGCGCATGGACTGACATATAGCATATCGCTTTTGCACCCTTGGTGAGTGTCGAGGGTTGCTTTAGGCGCTCCTTACTTCGTGGTCACTGGCAAGCGCGCTGAACTTTTCAACAGTCGGGCCGTCGCGTTTTAGCTCGTTTTAGTGATGGCACCCAATCTTGTGGTGTGTGCTTCAAGTGTGTGTGTGTGTGTGTGTGGGTGTGTGCGTGCGTGTGAGAGGTTTTAAGGGTACCTTTAGGTTGGTTTACAGGGAGATCAACAGGCAAGCCATCGCCGCCTTGGGACTCCGGTTTTGCAACGTTTACGCCCCCCTTTCCATCTCTGGACCTTGGGACTTGACACGAGTTTTGGTGTGCAGAAGCCATCAGGTATCCTGCGATGGAGACCAGATGGGTGAGCCACTGAGTTGACGTTGACTTCTCCTGGACACTTGACCAAAGATCCCTAAAAAGGAGAGTGTTGGGGGAGTCAAAGATTGGACAAGTCCTCGAGTTCCATGCAGATTTCAGGTTGGCTCCTGAAATGTCCAGTCCTTAAAGAGTGTTCCGCAAGATTAGCGAGTGGTTGGTCACCTGGGGCATAACCGACTTACAACAGGATTGTGTGCCGGACACGTGTTGGTTTTCACCGGTTACTCGCCCACATCTCACTTTCCCCGACCTGAAAATCACGTGTTAGTGAGTCCGGTATTTTTCTGGCCCAATCCACTCAATCGGAAGTGAGACATAAGGTTCGAATCCGTTTAGAGGACCCATGGTCTTTTTCTTTTTCCGCAATTTGCCGTGTTTTCCTGTGGGCAAAATGGAAAACAAGGGCCCTTGTGTTCTTTTCATCGCAATTTCCCGCGGTTTCCCGTGGTTTTCCATGGGCAAATGGAAAACAACGTGTGCACCGGTTGCTTTGCAACGCCACACGACGCTTGCGATCCACCGCATTTTGTTTTGCAAGAGGCGTCGAGTCCATCACCAAGATCCGCCCCCCGGCGGAGCCGCTCACGGACATGTTGGCGCGGCTGATCCAACACGAGAATTGGCCCGGGCCATGGAAAGGGGGCTACGTGGGTGGGTGGGTGTTTGTTGCCCCTTTGCCATCAAAGGGCGGCGCTCTTTTTTCAGATGCCCTCTCTGAGAATTAGAACGAGCTGGGGCGAACCCGAGCTCCGTGAAGGTCGTCCTTGGTGCCTTCCAACAAATCATGGAAACGTTGGGCGCTCGATGAGCCTCCGAGAAGAGGGTACCCCCAAAAAGCACCCGCATTTCAGCCCCCCCCCCGAAACCGACAAAAACAACAAAAAGCACACCCCTTTCGCTTGAGAGAGGGCGCCCCAAAAATACCTTCCCTCTGGGGTTGGAACCACCATGCGTACAATGGGGGGTTCCTATACCATTCTTTACCTAGAATTGGGTCCTTAGCCATTATTTTTATGGGTTTTGAGCCAAAGTTGAACCCTTCTAGGGCTACCTTCCCCATTCTTTTCGGGGATCCTTCTTTTCAGGAAACCATCAAACACCCAGGGACACAGCTGGTTTTTGAAAGGACAGATGGTTAAAATAAGAATGCGGAATCAACCCTTAGAACCCTCTCCTTTTCTCCCCTTCCAGCCCCCCACCCCAAAAGAAAAGAAGCAACAAACCCCCGCCCCACCGCCCCCCCCAACCCGAACCCCGAGGTACGTGCGCCGCAGCGCCGCGGCGGCGCTCTCCAAGTGCGCGGAGCTGGAGGGCGCCGCGGAGATGGCCCACAAGGCGCGGCAGCGAGGGGCGCGGCAGCGGGCGGAGGAGAGCTGCGGGGCGCCGGGAATCCACCGAGGTGTCCTGAGGAGAAAAACCCGCAAAAAGCGCGCGGTTTCCTCGAAAGCCCCGCAAACAGCGCGCGGTTTCCTGAAAACCACGAAAAAAAGGCGGTGTCCTGAGAAAAGCCCAGAAAAAAAGGCGCGCGGTTTCCTGAAAGCCCCCCAAAAAGGCATGCAGAAACGGCAGGGGGAGGGGGGGGAGGAAGGATTCCTGGGTTTAGGGTTTGGGGTCTAAAGGGTTTAAGAAATGGAGTGAGGAAGTTTTGTGTTAGCTTTCCCACCCACCCACCGCAACATAGTAGAGCTCGACAGTTTCCTTAAAATCCCTGAAAACGCACTCACAAACCGGGGGGGGGGGGGGGCTCTTCTGAAAAAAGCACTGAAAACTGATCAACCCCCAAATGCCGAACCCTTGGGTCATGACCCACAAAAGAAGAGGTTTCTATTTATGCTTCCCTGGTTTCAAAGGGCGGCAATTGCACTGGACACATGTCCTGTTGGTTTTGTACGGGCACTGATTTCACTACTGCAGAATTGCATTTGCTTAGTTCCAAGGGGGCGAAAAAGCAAATGGAAGAATTCGAATCTCCTGAAATTTCCTGTTGGTTTTCCCTACACAAACAGGCAAGCTCACCGGGATATTTTTTTTGGGTTTTCGTAGGTTTGCTTTGGTCGCCCGAGGTGTTCCTCAACTGTTCCTGGTGTTTTCCTTTCAATTTGCGCTCTCCGGGTTTCCACAGCTTTTTCATTCGGGTGTCCTTGTTTTGAAACCGCAGAAGGGGGCCCTTCTGAAAAGAGCGGAGTTTTCCTGAGGTGTTCTTTGTTCTTTGAGTCTTCTTTGGTTTCCCTTTGGCGTCCCTTTCATTTAAAAGCATCAACAAGGGTGATGATCTACTTTCAACAACCCCAGATTGCCAGACTCAACTCCAACTAACATGGTGAAAGAAAGACTTTTTGGGAGCCCATTTTGGGTTCCGAGTCGTTTCCCTTCCGGTAGACTGCGGCCACGGAGCCGTGGAAGGGGGGTTTCGGGTGATGTACTGCGAGAAGTTCCTTTGCGCAAGGGAGCTGTTGTATGGAAGGGGGCTACACATAGGTGTCCTTTTAGTTTAGTTTGGTTGGAAATAGATGGCGCTGGTTTAGATGAGTTTGATTCCATTTACCAGGGCCATCTATTTTTAAAAAAATATATACATTTATGGGGCTACATGTTTCAACTGCTAGGGGCTGTTCCCTCAAACGACCCCAAAAGACAAAAAAACACAGCTGCACAAGCGCAAAATACTTCAGCGCAGCTGACGGTAGCACGAGCTCATCACAAAGCCTCTGGGGCGCAATTCAAATTGTGGTAATTATTTTTACCTGAGGATCCCTTGCTTCAAATTGTAGTAATTCCACCTAAACCCTCAAACTGCCCATGCAGATTATTTATTGTTCCCATTGTTACGGGTAATTTGAGGGGGCAGGCAGATTCTTTCCAGAGATCCTTTCAGAGCATCGCCTCGAAAACTGCGGTGGAGATTTGGGGAGGTAATTTAGCGAAACATGAGACGTACTTTGCCCAGACACTCTATATTTGGGAGGCGAGCCCCAAAATATGTTTTGTTGCAGTGTAAATTAATCAAGTTCACCTCCAGTATCTTTTGACCTTAAGCCGAAGGACCTTCCAAAAAAAAAAACACGAAGTCTATGGTCAATATGGGGGCCGGGGCATGAGGTCCCAGCCAGGCACATCCGCAGGTTGTCGTTTGAATGGTCGAAAGGTGTTTGTCCGGACGATTTGGGTGTGGGTCAAAATGAAACCACCAGGGGACCACTGGTTTTGGTCCATGTTTCCACTTGCCAGGGTTCCATTTGGGGTACCTATTTTTGCCCCACAGCCATTTCATGCTCTTCCCGACCAGCTTTCAAACTGGTCTACAAGTCGGTCGAGAGCTACCGGAAAGGTCGAGCCGGGCGTGGCTGGAGAGCACCGCGAATCAGCACCGAGGATGGTCCGTTTCAAGGGGCGAATGAAGAAGGTGGGCATAAGGACAGCTGGGCGGAGATAGTGGACTCGCCCGCGATTCGATGGGCCCGGATCCGCGGCAACTACGGCTCCGGGCGACACTGTGGATGGACGAAATCCATTTCGCCACCCAAGAAACTCGGGAATGATGATTCCAATACCAACCAACAATGGTTTCCCATGGTTTCCAAGTGGTGCGACATGGATTCTGTCCATCCACAGTATGGCCCAGAGCCCGTTCGGCTCCCCGTCCTCGCGGTTCTTACGACACAGAATGAGGAGAAATCCCCTTCAAACCGCGAAGTATCCCCCCCCAAAAAAAAGTCAGACATGGGAATTTCTGACTCCAAGTACCGTAGACCGTAGGTGAAAACCCGGCTGGTTCACTTCTTTCTGAATACCCCCCTTCCAGTGGTACCCTCCCACCAATTCACGGCCGGAACCTGACGCACACCGGTCACGACCTATCTGCCTCCGAGGTGGCCGCCGCGCAGATGGAGAACGAGGCGCGGAAGATCCGGGGGACTTGGCCCCCGCCACGTGGATGGACGCGGTTCTCCGCGTCAGCCGCAGGCGGAAGCCATGGGTTAAACTAGAACGGTTCTTGGTATTTACAGAGGAATCATCGGAAATTCCAGGGTTTCTTAGGTGCTGCGAAATGGATTTTGTGCACAGGTGTCCTTTTTGGTTGTTTTGCTTAAAAGATAGAAGGCCCTGGCTTACCCGGTGGTTCAATCATCTACCAGAGATATCCATCGATTTTCCAAAAAGGACACCTCCCCGGCAGACTTGAGGTCTTTTTGTTTGAGGGAAAAGGTCCCTTGAGCTGAAAGGGTGCCTCATAAAAAGGCGATGAGTGGAGAAGGAATCAGTACCCGAGCAATAGGTACAGCTAGCAGACTTTGGAGTTCTTCCTTAAGAAATGGGCGGGTTGCAACGGGGCCATGTGCCAACTGATTGTTGCTCGTAGTTTGGTTTCAAGCGAGGCAGGGTTCAAGTCCGCAAATCACCAATCCAAGCCACCAGCTGCCACCAACTGAGGTTGATCTGACTGAACATTAGTGGAACCACCCACTGAATCCCGTTGTTTGGTTTGTTCCCTAGATTTGCCCACTAAAGCCACTACTGGGAATTGCAGCGACCTCGGTGGTTGTTTCGGGCAAGCAAGTCAAGTGCGCTGTCGGAGACTGGCCTGGTTCGTGTCACCTACTTTTGTCAGCCTGTAGATCTGGGAGTCTTGCAGCTTTCCACTTCCTCTTAGCGTTTTATTTCAACTGGTAAGAATGCAAACATCGTTTTCTCCGAGGCTGAACATCCTCTTCAATGCTCTTGCTTGTGATGGGTGTAGGGATTGCTATTTGCTTAGCTGCGGTAGATATCGACTTTGAAAGCCATTGAATTGAGTAGGCTAAACCCTGGATGTAGCTCGGGAACTTGGGGTTAGCCCCATTGTACCCTTGGTTAGAAGCTAATTGCTTGCTAAGTTGGTTGGACGTCCCGGCTACCGGGCTGGTTGGGAGAGGGAAGTAATGGTGGTTTAAGGCCATCCCCCAAAAGTCCTTCTGAATGTGCCTCAACATGCGACCACTTCAGAGTCCTAGCCATGCTTATGGGCTACTGACTGAGTGGCATTGGGGTAGGTGCTTGAACACTCACTCACTTCCCAAGTTTCTGGCCTCACACTTGCCGGCGCGAACGTCAGCCATGTCGATGGCATGGAACATCTGCAAGCGGGGGAAGAGCGTTTGAGTGGCAAACAGCAAGTCGACTTTTTGGGGTTCGCCCAAAACCTGGTGACAATCCATGGCGAATCGAAGTCGGGCCAATCCACTCTTTGGTGCATCTTGCTTGGATGTTCGGACTTCAACTTTTTGCCAACGGGTTTTCCATGAAACCCCACTAAAAGTGAAAACAGAAGAAAACACACTTTTAGCGGGGCTTGCAGCAAGCCACCGAGCACCAGTCACTGGATTCCTTGGGCCCATGGGGGACTTTTCCAGAATTCGATTCCCATTTTTCACCAGACTAAGGGGCCAATTTTCTGGCTCTGTTCGGCCTGGTGATTTTTTCTCGGTCTCGGTTTGTCGGGTTCAACCGCAGGACCCGGACGTGCGGCTCTGCGTAGCGCGGGCCATGCTGGCGGTGCAGCTGGCCTCGGTGTCGCGGAGGCCGCCGCACAGCAGCGGCCTGGGCATCCAGAGGCCCGGGGGGGTGGAGAAGGGTGGGGTGGGGGGGTGGAGTGAGGAGGGTGGGGCGGGATTTTCGGTTGGGGTTTGTCAGTCTACAATTTTGGTAAATGGAAAAGTAGATCAAAACCTGCGGTTTTGCTGGTGGTTTAATTCCAGAGGAGAATGGGGGGGGGTGGAGTGATGTGAGGGGGGTTTTTCGGTGGTGGTTTGTGTTGGGGGGGGAGGGGTTAGGGGGTGGGTTAGGGGTGGGGGGGTGGGGCAGTGGGGCGAGGGGGCCGGGTTTTTTCGGTTGTTTGGTGGAGGGGGTGGAGTGATCAGGCGGTGGGGGGGGTGTGTACACATTTGCAGGAACAAAAACAACCCACAAACTCCATTTTGAGGTCTTCCTTGTGCATTTCCTTTCACCAAGAAGGGGTACCAACCACCAAAGAGGGGTACCAACTCCTTAGAAAAACAGAGACAAGCCACCCTGGCACCTGCCACTTTCGGAGACCTAAACCCAAAGCTCCCAAAGCGCTGCTTTTGGGATGGCAGCCTTGGTTTGTGGTAGGCCCGAGGTCGACGCTTTGTCGGCTTTAGTTTTCCGCGCGAGACAATTCCATCCCGAGAGGCGGGTCTTTCAGAACCCGGAGGAGGTGGAAGCACCAGGCGCCGCGGTTTGGCCGCGGAGGTTCAACCAACTTAGCTTTACGGCCATGGTTATAAGCTGATTCCTTTCAAAAAGCCGCGGTGGTGCAGCTTTCGAGCCATGTCCCTTTTTGGAGCCTCCACTTTAGAGAGCTTGAATGGAAGCCACAAGGAACTTGCAACTGTTGAATGGGGGAAATCCGGTGATCCGTGTTTAACCTAAGTGTGTTGATCATCCAAGTGGGGAATCCCGCTGTCTGGATGGGAGTCAACTTGTCGGGCTTACTTCCAGGGGAATGGATGTGAGTCCCACTTGGGTTCAATTAACCCCCCCCCTCTCAAACAGATTTACATGATCCCCACCCGAACTTTCTGCGACGGCCTTAGCATCCCTCGGGTCTTTATGGGCATCTGCTATGTCATGGTTGTACCAGACCTCGACTCGGACAAATATTTCTTCGAGTCTCAGAATGGAGGATGGTCCCTTGCTTTAAGTTGGCCGTGGCTCCTTTTTTTGCGAGGCTCGGTACCCATTTTGAGATGGTACTGGTAAGTGCAACCAAAAGGATGCCTAGAGCATGAAACAGTACGTTTACCCATATTTTGGTGACGAGCCTTGGCTTTGCACTACATTTGGGCGGGCGGAAATTAGGCTACGCAAGATCCCGAGTTCCTGGACTTATTTTTGTTTCTTCGGGAAGACCATTTTAGTGGTAAACAACAAGATATCAGACTTTTTCTGGCCAACCCACTCAGAAAGTGAGCTCCGCAACATTATTTTTGAAACCAAGTTCATTCTGCGATAGGAGATGAGGACGCGCCGCCCACCGCGCGC